CCGGCAGGCGGACTCTCAAGCACTGCGCCACCAGGGAAGCCCTAAACAGTTCTTTTAGTGCTTATGTTTTCTAGGTAGATAATCACATTTGCAAATAATGATGATATTCCAGAGGTATTTCTGCTTTATTATTTTATTTTATTTTCAAAGAACCTTGGCCTTGGGTTTTCTAAGAAATAAGTAAATTAGTTTTTCTAATTTATTACTTTCTGCTTTTATTTTCATTGTTTTACCCTTATTTCTTGACACTTCTCTCCTTGGGTTCTGTGGAACTCTCTTCTCATTTTCCCAACTCTGTGATTGCTCTAGCTCCTCCCACCTCCCACCTGTGAGTGTCGGAAGACTCTGTCATTAGCCATTCTCTATTTGTATTTCTTGTTATCCTGGCTTTTGGTATTGATCCCAGAGCTTTCAAGATCTCAAAATTCACTTGTTATCATAGATAGCTGGCTCTGCTGAATAGCATAAGTTTTTCTTTTATATGGTGATAACACACATAAACATAAAATTTACCATCTTAACAGTTTTTAAGCGTAAAGTTCAGTGACTAGCAACAGCTTTCTTATGTACTTGGTTATGACCAAGACTTCATCAAAGCGATTCAAAATTGCTATTTTATTTATCCCTAGTCATTGGCCAGATCCTATCAGTTTTACCTTATATAGTATTTTCACTAGGCTCTGTTACCAAACCCAGGCCTTAGGCCTTGCAGACTCATACTTGCCCTCTCTCTATTCTTTCTCCCACTTAACATTAGTATCCCCCAAGCCCCAGAACCTATCAAGCCACTTTTCTGTTAAAAGTTTTTGAATGGTTTCCAGTAGCCCACAGAAAAAGTACAAACAGTTGGCATTCAAGGCCTCCTGATCTCACTGCAGCCTACCTTGTGGCTGATCACCTCTCTCCCTTCATACACACTGCTTTATTTCTTGTCAAACATTGAGGCAAGTGGGCTGGGTAAGAAATGGAGACAGCCGGGACCAGCTGGAGAAGTAAAGGGAAATTGCTACCCTGCCACAAGAGTACTCTTGTGTACTCTTCATTTTTTTTTTTTCCAGAGAAACTGCAAATCTGCATTTTCATATGAAAATCTCTAAATTTAAAATTGTTGGCTATGAATTAATATTTTTGAAAAACCCTGAGCAATTGAAAAACATGTTTGCAGGTAGGATCGAGGCCACATTTGACCTCTGTTCTCTCTTCTTGGCAGGGTTACTTTAGATTTTCTAGGCCTATGTGGACTGTGGTCTCTCTTGCCTGGAATTGGGGCACTACATTATAGTCTAAAGAAACATTAAAGTAAACCCAGTAGGGGTTTTGGAAACTCTTACTGTGAAAATGTTACTGATTTAAAGGTTTTTCATTATTCCTGTGAAAAGGCCAATAGTTGGATTTAAAATGATATAAGCGAATACTACCCATCGTGCTTCAGCAAGCACAGTGAGTGCTCTACCATGAGAAGCTTTTTTGAGCTGGAATTTTGTCTATCAGTAGTTTTCATGTATATATGTATAATATTAATTTACTGTTATTTCACAGGACAAATTAGTCCAGATGTCCACGATTTCTAAGCACTTTGGACTGAAATACAAAGAAGAATCGTACATCTTTAAAGAGCTTGAGAAGGTTCGCAAGGAGACTAAAAAGGAATTTCTCCGATTCAAGGAGAAGTTGGCCTCCAAGCCGGCTGTGGGTGAAGTCCCTGTTTTCGGCCTCCGGGTCCCCGCTCCGGCCCAGCATGGGGGGAAGTGGAGCGTTTCCCGCGCCAGACCCCAAAAGCCACCAGGCTCCCCTCGGGCCAAAGGCCGTGCGCCCCTCGCTGCGGCCCTCCCGCAGCCGGCGCCCCGAGGCGCAGCGCGGCCCCCGGGCCCGAGCGAGGCGGCCGCTTCCGGGAAGACCCGGCCCTTCTGCCCCCAGGATTTCTACTTGCGGAGCTCCGCGTTCCTCCGGCCCCGGCCCCTGAAGAAGCCGCCGGTCATCGCCTCCAGGGCGGGCACGTCCAGACCCGTGGTCCTGATGCCGCCACCTGCGCCCAGGGGGAAGGTCCGGGCGCACCTGGGCGCCAGGAGCCCACGGCCCGCGGGCTCCAAGCTGGTCTTCGACCCGGCCGGAGGCCGCGACGCGAGCCAGGAGCCG